CGATACACCGGCATGGATATCCGGTTGATGTAAGACAGCTTGAAGAGAAGGCCCTTGTCCATGTCGACCGTCAGTCCCTATGGATGCGCACCGATCAGTAGAAGGAAGAAAGCACACCAATCAAAAGACACGCACGCGTCGGAATCGACACGGGGCTCTAGAACCGCGAAATCACAGCAGCAAGGACCGCAAGGCGTGGGGGGCAAAGACGATCAGCGTTTTCGGTCAGCAGCATCAAAAAGTTTCTCGTACCAGAGTACCTTGAGTAAAAAGCTGAACGTCGGGTACATAGAAGCAACGAGCAATATGAGTAGCAGCGACGGTGTTGCAAAGGACTCTCTGTTCTACAGGAGGAGGAGGCGAGGGCTGCTCGTTTTCTGCCGATTGCTTGTCTCTTCGATACAGTTTCTACACCAAAGAACCAGAGGCGTTTATTTCTACACCTCTTGCAGACGGTGGACACGTGATACAGAACGCAGCGGATGTAGCCCTCCGCAGCAGTTTATGCTTTCGTAAGTAGGTGGGGTACCCCACGCGGGCGCACCAATCGCGCCGCTTTTGCGCTGCTAGGCCGCGACCGTGACCGGCCCACACACAGCAGGACACACACATCAGAACACACGCCGCCGAGCTACAGATGCACATGCACACAAACAAATCTGAGAGAAAGCAACGCCCTGCCTCTTTCATGACAGACATTACCGAATCTCCCCTACTTCTCACCATGATAGCAAAGTCCGGGTCGTACTCCATCTCCATGAGACTCGGGGGGTACTTGAGCTCCTCCACCAGATGCTCCTTCGCAAGGTCGTAAATCAGAACTGGTTTTGCGGTTGTTACCGTACATCCCGCAAACCCCAAGGCAGTGCACACCATACAATCAAGCAAAGGTCCAAGGTATATACAAACGTGTATCAACACACGACAAATAGCATAGGACGTAACTTCCAGCACAAAGAGTGGGTGAGAGCGCAGGACACTGCGGGGTAGAAAAAAAGGTAGAAACACGAACATGGTCTTCACTATCGATCGCTGCGAGACGAAGGTAAACGGACGGGCTGTGGAACGGACTTTTCCGTGCGAGGGATTCGTTATTTACGTGCGAATGATGACACGTAGGCTGTCTGTCGGATTCGGAGGTGGTGCTGGTGGAGGTGCGATGTCCTGAAGTTCAGCAAACATCAACAATTGACCTGAATCTCGGAAACCATCAGGATCAATCATGGTCAAATACGATGCCAACTACCGGCTGCTGCTGCTGTGCTGCTTTCCTTCACACAACTATTATGTATAGTACAATCTCAGCCATGGGTATCGTCCAAGACCCGCCAACCAACGAGAGAACAAGAGGGAAGGAACTCACAAAAACGTTTCGCACAAACGATCCATGTATGCATCCTGCTGTAACATCTCACACAGGTTCAAATTAACATATGTTTTCATCATGATGATGCTCACGACATGTGATCCACATTGTAACACCAACATATTAATCTCCTGTGCGTGGTACCTAGCTCAAGTAGGGATAACAGTTGTAACTGGATCCAGAACCTCCTCTGCAAGAAGCCTAGGTGTATCTGCACATGAGAGAAGAACAATTGTTTGACATGCATACAAGAGGGATCACGGTTTCATCGTCAAGGCATCTGTTCTTGTACTTCCCAGGACAGCAAATAACTCCAGCAAGATGTCGACAATACAGCCCGGTGTAGTAGTGGTCTTGATGTGGGATGTTGTCTTGACATGAAACCGTTCCGGTCCAACTGACGCGGACGCCTTCGGTGGTATCGCTGGCCTCTAAGGCCCATGTTTATGGTTTCCAAATCTTTATCTTCCTTTCTTTGGACAATTGTTGGCTTTTTCGTCCTTGTGGGCAGTCTGCCTCCCGAACGAATGCGAATCAGCTGTTCGACCGTTGAGAACAGTCACAGCTTTGGCTGAGATGTCTACAGATCACCTGCATTTTTCGANTGTTTATGGTTTCCAAATCTTGATCTTGCTTTGTTTGGACAAATGTTGGCTTTTTCGACCTTGTGGGCAGTTTGCCTCCCGAACGAATGCGAATCAGCTGTTCGACCTTTCAGAACAGTCACAGCTTTGGCTGAGATGTCTACAGATCACCTACATTTTTCGCCAGGGCCCAGGTTTGATTTTTTCAAGGTGCGCAATTTTCACGCAAGATTTTTCCAACACCAGCTTTTGGACAGATCTTGGCCCAAGATTCGCTCTGAGGTGGCCTTTCGACCGAATCTTCAACATCTTGCTGTGCTGGAAAAAAATCAAACGTGGACCCTGGCGAAACATGTAGGCGATCTGTAGACATCTCAGCCAAAGCTGCCAAAGCTGTGACTGCTCTCAAAGGTCGAACAGCTGATTGGCACTCGTTCGGGAGGCAGACTGCCCAAAAGGTCGAACAAGTCAACATTTGTCGAAAGCAAGGAACATAAAGATTTGGAAACCATAAACATGGGCCTAAGTGGAAGTAGACTTCACCAAAACCACCAGGTATTCAGACTTAACATCGCCGCGAACACATCATCCCTTCTGAGAATAATACCGCACGGAGTCTGTCCGCGATGTTCCAATAATCTATGCGCATGTGTCATGTAGTGTAAGAATGCAGCTGAGATATTCTGCGTGTGATGCACAAGATTTTCAAGGATTCTGCACACTGCTGTTGCTCTCTACCGCTGGGTGTCTACCAGCGTAGGAATACCAGACTCACCCTGCAAGCTTGGCTTGTCTGAAGAGCCCCACCGGCAGTAGCCCGTGTCCCATCAGCCCGTGTTCGTCCATCGTGGATGGATGCAACGAGTGCAGTGCCGTGCAACGCAGAGCAACCAACGCACACTAGAGGTTCAAGTTGGCGACGAAGGTCAGCAAGCCAAACACCATGTGCTAACCTTGGCCCGTTCGCGTGATCGGCGTCGCAACGACTCTGTATGCAGGCATCGTATATCCGCCTGTCAATCGCTCGCCATTCACTCTCTGCCTTCTTTAAATTTACTGTACGCTCCTGGCGAACACGGCCTTTGCGTCTTGTTTGCCTGGCCCAGTACACAGGTTCTGCTGCAACTACTGTAAATAGCACTCGACCAGTGGGCGTGCATGAGGCGACCCTCTGCTGTCACCCTTCCCAAAAAACGGATTACACCTAACACAAGAACAAAAACGACACAGCAACAACCAACCTGCTGGTGTGTATACGAGATGATCGCGACGAAGAACTCACATGTCGCCAGCGTGTAATCGTAGTCAAAGCCGACGACCTCGACCCGACTAAGGTCAACGTTGGTGTTCGAGAACACGGCCCTCGACGGACTCCGTCGATCGGAAGGGCCAAAAACGGGCAGCACGGACGGATCCACCTCCTCCTCGCAGAGCCTCGTGTAGCGGTCGAGCAGGACCTGTATGTCCGGGTTGGAGTGGCGCAAGGGCGTACCCTCTTCCAGCGCAAGCTGTTGCGAGGGCTCGAGCTTCACGCTTCCGTTGAGCCCTTCCCGAGGCGGCGCCTGGGCGGGTTGCTGCGCTGGGTGCGAGGTCGGAGGTGCAGCAATCGGCCATGAAACTTGTCTCGGAACAGGCTGCTCGTTGGAAATCGAGCAGAAGAGCCTCTGCCAAGGCCTGGAGCGGAGGCCCCTGCGGTTCCTCCCGGCTGGTGCAGCGCGTGGTGGCCTGACCTGGACTCGAAAGGCGGACCTCTCTGCCAGTGCCGCGCAGCAAGAACCACCGGATTTCAACATGTGTTTTATGAAGAAGCCTGAAAGGGATTGGGGTAGCATTAAGGGAGCAACACGCATGGGCGGTCTCTCACTGTGGACTCCTGTTGATGTACTGCTGCCTAGTACATCATCCGTCCGCACGGTAAAGCGTGAAAGCGTTGCTGCGCTTCCTCACTCTTGCACTTCCGAAGCAGTATCAACCATCGGAGGAGGCCCCGCCACAGCAGTGAACCAGGCAAGGTACCGCCCGAAAAGTAGGTCATATGGTCCGATCGATAGTCAGGCGATTTTTTATTGTTTGATCGTTGCTTTCGAATATTAATATTGGATTAATAAGCTTCTTCTGTGGACTAGCCATTATTAGCATCGACCGACCCGGCCCATCAACCCGCTGACGCTGACCAATGAAAACAGACAGTCATTCCGTGTTAACCGCAGACTAGACAAAATAACGCGTCTCCTTCTATAGGTCATGGTCGTGGACACACATCAGTGAGGGGGCGTCAGTCATGGGAGCGCCTAGACTATTTTTCTCCGGATGAAAGACGGAGACGGTGCTGTAGCACATGGCGAGAAATGCAGGTAGTACCTGTACCGAGGCTTCTGCTTTCGAGACTAACTCGTTCGTGTGTGTTTGTTTCGGCCCCGTTCGCTTGGCATGCATGCATGCTGTTGCTGCTTCCATTAGATATCCGACAGCACACATTCTAGACTACTTGGGGAATCCTCGGGGCCAGTGTATTTGAGTGTACCTTTTTAGGGTAAGTTAGCCTGCGACCACGGAAATCGACCGCGTCGAGTGTTGGATCAGTACGGACATACGAAGGTACTGGGTAGAGAGAGATCGGAACGGTTTTTAATGTGAAGGCAACAACAACAACAACAACAACAACAACAACACATNCCGGATGAAAGACGGAGACGGTGCTGTAGCACATGGCGAGAAATGCAGGTAGTACCTGTACCGAGGCTTCTGCTTTCGAGACTAACTCGTTCGTGTGTGTTTGTTTCGGCCCCGTTCGCTTGGCATGCATGCATGCTGTTGCTGCTTCCATTAGATATCCGACAGCACACATTCTAGACTACTTGGGGAATCCTCGGGGCCAGTGTATTTGAGTGTACCTTTTTAGGGTAAGTTAGCCTGCGACCACGGAAATCGACCGCGTCGAGTGTTGGATCAGTACGGACATACGAAGGTACTGGGTAGAGAGAGATCGGAACGGTTTTTAATGTGAAGGCAACAACAACAACAACAACAACAACAACAACACATGCTAGTAGAAGTGGAGGATGGGGGCCAGAGGGGCAGTCGACAGAGTCCAATGATAAAAAATACATGCGCCCAAAACTAATCTGCATTCAAAATGGTGTGGGGGTCTCCAACTCGATTGCTTGTTGTGCGGAAATAAAGCATACTGTATGCATATCACGACATCAGGACGCTAGGCTGTGACAGCTTCGAAAGGACAGGACGCGAGAGATTCGTTTACGAAAAAGACTTCATCGCTTCCTAACGAGTGTTAGGACATGGCCTAGATATACATACACACTGGCTGCGCTAACCGCTAGAGCAGGGAAAGAACGCAAAGCGTCCAAAAAAGCGGGTGCAAATCAACTTGGACTCTCTCACCAGTCAAATGGAGGAGGCGCACGGCAAGGATCTAATCCAGAGAACGTGCCATTTGCAATTTGCCCCGCAGAGAAAACATCAATAAACTCAGGTGCTCCCGGACCAAGCACGCAAGAGAGTACCTTCAAATACGAAACAACGATTGCATGCAAATGTCATTATGTCCCTCCCATCAGCCGGAACCCGCCAATCCACAGAACGGTACACCCACGAGACATGAAAGCAAGTACGGCACATATGACACAATCAAACCAACAACAAAAGGAACCTGTTCTGCGGGATATGGAAAAGAACCCAACTCTCAACCCTAATCCCGTTTGGGTTCGCAAAGGGGCGAACAGAAAACGGAAGGAGTTACGGAGAAGAAGCAAATACGCCGATCTCTACACGGGGCGAACCAATTAGCCGACTAGCTGTCGGCATAGCACTCCAGCTTGTGGTGGGTGTGCCAGTGCTGCTTCTGGCATTCCCGCGAGCAATCTGAAGACCGACAAGGGAGAGTGGAAGGGCGGGCGAACAGATGCATGCGTCGTCGGGTGCGCCGCGCGTGTCCGAGTCAACGACACAAAAACAACGATGAGCTTCACCACATTTTGTCTATTCCAAGTAGGGCAATCATTCCATCAGTTACCCCCCAGACAACTACTTATTAAATGTCCGATGGCACTTTGCAATGGCATGTAGCAGTCTTGTCAAGCTCTTGGAGGTCCGCCTGCTACGTAGAGTAAGCTAGGTGTCGTGTACACCAGTGCGCATGCGTGCTTATCCTCAAAGCAAGAATACCTTGCGCGTGGGGTGGCTACTCGTGTCGATCTCGGGTAAGGGCAAGGGGCAAATTTTGAGAGTACGGCGTGATTGAACACCTTGTCCTCTCGCTTAAAAGCTAAGTAAAACAGACACTCTTAGAGCGTAGAGGGGAATACGGTTGGGTGGAGGTGAAGGGCATGACTTCCGTCAGTCCATGTTCTCACATTTGACGATCTTGCACCTGGAGCACCTCATTAGGCCATTCAGCTCCTGGCATACCGGGCAAGGGGTGTCCGCCGGCAGACCTGAAAGCGTATGCATAGCGAAGAAGGCGAGAAATACCGTCAACAACAACGGAGAAACAGAGGTGGGTGGGTGGGTGGGTGGGTGCATTGCAATTAGCACACACCCCGGGGGTGGGAGGGGGGGGCGAGGAAGGCACCGGTTGTGTCGAACTCTAGTTGGTATGAACCCAAGGTTTCACGGGAAAAACCGTTGTTCTCGTGTATCCTGCGCTTTTCGTAGAAACCATGATACCTTCGTCGCGGAGGTTCTGCTCAGAAGCCAGAAGTGTGGTTGGCTGAGTGCCGAATCGGCGAGCAAGGGGGGGAGGGGGGGGGGGGGGGGTTTTTTTTTTTTTTTT